ATCTGAAAATATTTAGTGATTTGTTAATGTGAGAGCTAATGTAATATAAGCAGGAGCATACTTAATTGTGTCAATGGAACTGAAGATTTTAAGGAGGAAGAAATTATAACATTTTGAATCTAAGCCCTGGGTCCTAAAAATGTGCAAGTGTGGGGAAATCTTTGAATGGATAAACAGTGAGTCTTCCCCCAAAAAAAGCACATTAGAACATGGAACAGCATTCCTTGGTTCAAATTAATGAGTTTCATTGACAATAGAAATATTCTACGTCCATAAACTACTTTCATGGATTCTATTATCAGTGGCATATGTTTACTAAAGGTAAGTTTGTGCTTCTGTAGAAAAACAATTAGGAAAACACAAACTGGAAAAGAATATCACTTGTTTAAGTTATAAATGACCTTGACAATCTTATAGAAAGTTGTACATAAGGAAGAAATAAAAATCTGATCAATAGAGAGAACAGAGGAGACATAAGGAAGGCAAGGTCTTCAAACACATAATCTGGAGGATCAGGCTCATTGAGTCTATAGCAATTGGGCTGGACTTGGATGGTTAAATCATTTCAAGGGAGGACACTGCACTAATTTTAAGGACAGGGCTGAAATACAATTGTGAGAACACCGGAACGTATGTTAATCCTTCTTGTGATGCCCAAAGTACATTACAAGCTTCTTTGCAAACAATGGTAACTCCGTATGTAGAATAGTTTTAGTAGATATAAGCCTTTCACTACATTATCTCAGGAATCAGTTAACCTACCATGAGCTAGACATTATGGCTATATAGATATCACTGCCATGCCAGGAAGGACATTGTTTAGCACTGGAACTCTGAGCTGCCACAGCCAGGCTGGTATTCTAGCTGACTTGTGTATCTCCACATTGCTGTCAGTACAATATAGATATTCTCTAGCTGACTTTATCTGGGCTGCAAACACAATCATCCTTCTCCCGGCTTAAGTTTGCTAGATAGAAAGAGGAGAACAACTGTGGGTTTTATTAACCATTCTTATTCAGTAGTTCTTTTTTAGTTTTTATATTTACACATTAGTTTACAACCAGAAGAATAAGAATTAAATTCAACTTTCCAATCATCTGAAACACAGTTATTTCAGTAACTACAGCTGAACTCAAGTGAATACCATTTGATGAGACAGGCCTTTGCCTGAGCACTGATTCAAATGTCTCAAAAGTTCAAGGTCAAAAACCTGTGAGAATTCAGGTGACTCATATCTCCACAGCATTTAGACCTCACCATCTCTAAAACTTCCATTACAGATTCTCAGGTTTTTTTAAGTCTCCATTCAAAAAGCAATAGATTTTCTGTGTGCATCTATCTTCCTATACAAAATCATTTGCTATCTGCTCTGAACAGTGTTGAACAGTTTAGAAACCTACAGTTATCTCACTGATTTTACCTGTGGGATAGGTGGAAGAGACAAGACACACTTCTCAGAAAACTTATTGTGACAACAACCATAACTTTTCTAACAAAGAAAATGGGCAGAACTTTTCAATACTACTACTAATCTTAGCTAAGAATGCTACAGCTCTGCAAAATTAGAGCTTTTGAAATTGTTATTATTAGTTTATCGAAACACTCCTCTAAGAGCAAGGAAAATAAACTAATTAAATTTTGAGAAATTAAAATGAATGAAAAAAAAAAAAATTAGACACTCACCAGTTACTAACTAGCTTAGAAACAACAGTACTCTTGCAAGACATGTATCTGCTCTTTCCATACCTTATCTCTAGAGTAAGAGATAAACTGCTGGGTTTGTACTAGGTCCTGAAACAAGCTGGTGGCTACCACTACAGCTCACATCACCTCCTGATCCCTTTTCCACAACCACTTGTACACCCTGGAAAAGATGACTGACAAGACTGAACACTGGCAGTACTCAATTGGATAAGAGAAGAGGGGCAATAGCCCATTACCTCCATTTTAAATTTCTGTCCAAAAGCTACTCCCATCCCCTGGCAATGCAACATCATCTTATGTAAGCTCTTAGCAGCATTATCTGACCAACAGGAATAGTGGGAGGCATTTCCATTTCAGCAGTGACCAGAAGATACTGCTAACCAGCACAGAGCAGAACACTGCCCAAGCGGCTTCATCTTAGCCAAGTGCTTCCAACTCAGATCTTGGAAAGAACAGAGCAGAATAATTGAAAACATAATGCTTCTTGAGCAATGGTCTGACACTGGGTTCCTTTGCTGGCACTATAATCATGGCATCTCATGAGAAGTGGCCACTTCTCTACCAACAGTGACACCCCTGGAACAGATCTGGCAGGATTTGGCCTGAAGCCATGTCTCCGGCCCCAGGCCCGCCCAGTCTGTCCAGCAATAGCCAATACATAGTGGGTGAGATTAGATTTTTCTGGAGTCAGATCAACTTGGAAGCAGACCTCTGTGTACAGCACAGTCTTACCCCATGGATAGGAAAAGCTCAAAGTCAAATATCTGAAGTTATATCTACAGAACAAACAAAGGTTTTAACACGTATAATCTGAACCACTTTTACTAAACTAGGATTTATAGATGAACTTGCTGATGTAATTTTTACACACTGACATACAGCTACAGCGGGACACCGCAAAAAGGGGTTTACAGCAGCCAGAGTCAGGACAAGGCTTCAATATTAACATTTTCCCTCCCCTTTGGCTGCTGTGGGTCAGAGACTACCACCACGTCTGGGAGGAGGGTGAGAATACTGAGGAGACATGCTGCTGGCTGACACCCTGGGCACCGCACAATAGCAACATCGTCCCATGGACAAACCCCTCCAACAGGCATTTATTTCTTTTTGAAACTGAAACAGTTGTAGTGGTCAGTAAGGAAATCCATGGACCAGACAGCCAAGAAACTGTCCTCCAAATCTTTCTCTGTGACATCCAGGCTAAAGCCTGAACAGTTTCACTGCAAGAAAACCATTTCATGGCACAGGTGGTAACATGAAAAAGGATAAAATATTAGACAAACACAAGTAAACTTTTATAATGTCTTGCATGTGAAGAGTCTGATTTGCTAATCTTGCCAAAACAACTGTAAGTGACTGACAACTCCCAGTTTGGAGCGACCAACTGGAAACAGGATTTTTCAGACAAAAGGAGAGCAGCACTGCCCAGGAAAAAAAAAATAATCCAATTGCTCAAAACAGACAAAAAAATCAAAGCACTCGAACGCTTAGTCACTTGTGACTGTTTGTTGTGGTACTGTTCATTGGGTTGGTTTGGGGGTTGTTTTTTTATAATAATTCAAACACTTTTTCCATGTTAAGAAGCAGAACAACAAGTTTCACTGGAATGCAAACTTTATAGTTCCAGATTTCCCACACGTCACCAGGTTTGACACAGTGTCAGAAAAATAAATCAATCAAAACTGTTAGGTATTATGGTGTACATTTTTTCATTAATGTTAACAGAAAATAAATACTAGCAATATTGCAACTGTCAGAGGAAATGAGTCAGAAAAATATACTATGGGGAAAATTAAGAAATTATTCATTACATTACTATAGTGAAATATTAGAGCTTCTCCATCTACTCAGGATGACAATTAAATCAGACATTAAAATTCATTAACAAAATGGATTGACATGATTTCACATTCTCTTTTCTCCCCTCATACCTAGATATCATATCTATAAGTTAGCAGACATAGGCTTTGAAAAACCTGGTGTATACTTTAAAGTGATCACCTAAAAACTAAAGTTTAATTAAAAGGTCTTTATAGGCATACATAATGCCTTATAAAAAGAAAAACAAACAAACAAAACAAAACCAAGTGTCTTCCAGTAAGCATGTATGTTTGTGTCATGATTAATGAAACATGCATTAAGTATGAAACATATGGTTTCCATTTTGTTGCCCTGGAATCCATCCAAAAACATTTTATGTTGTTAGCTTAACTGTTAGCTTAACTGTTCTCCTCAGCTGAGAATCTGTGGAAAATATCTCATCTGAAAAAAATCTGTACCTAATGGATAACTATAAAAGATTTGCTAGATCTGCAGCAGACTATTTTAAAAAGCCTCTGAGATTACTAGCTAATTAATAGAATTTTATTTAATTAGAATATAATTTTCAAACAAAAAAAAACTGCTTTAAGATGTACCACAAATTATATGAACAGATAATGTTGGTAGTATTTTCTTTATTTAATAAATTTGTAGTGGTGTTCATGTCACTCTGTTGGAACCAGGCCATTTGACCTAACAAGAATGCATGACAAAAATCATTACTAATGTATCATCTCCCTGATTTTGTAGATTTCAGAAACTTATCTTATGCCAAAAGAGCATTGCTCTGAAGATCACTTTTGACTAATAGCCTGATTCAGATGCAAGGATCAGTAAAAATGAAAGAAAAAGAACAAAGATCATATTTCTTTATTTTTAATAATGTTTGGCTAAGAATTTTATGACATCTATCATGAATGCCCAGATTTAAATTTTACTTTAACAGAAAATATACTAGAAAGGCTGAAGACAAAGTCACAAGGTTAAATTCTGCCATGCTGTTCTTAAAAATTCATCTCCAAATTGTGAGGCTGCTAATCTCGGTAAAAACAAGCAGTCAATGTATAAAACCTTTCATACATTTGTGCTGTAAACTATTTAAGCTACTGACTTGTTTCAGGAATTAACACATTGTATTTAAACCATTAAGCCTGCTGCAGTTTTTATAATTTATTGCAAATCTTTCTTTTGATTAAGCCAATGGAAAAACAGTATCATGATTAAATTGATAAATCCAATCAGATCAGTTTGGAGACTTTACCATGATATGTTTCTTTATTTCATTAGCTGAGATGATTTGGGGTATGGCAGTTGAAAGCCTCCATTTCGTTAATGTATCATGTGACTTGAGTCTTGACTCTGCTCTCTGCAAAGGGTCCACAACTTGAAAATTCCTATTACCAGTGCTCTGCTAGCATACAAGCTTGTTCATTTTCATAACCCATTGCAAGAATTAGCTGGTTACTTTAACTCACCTTTGCCATCTGTGCTTGGACTCCACTAGCCTTTAAAGCAGAAACTGCCTTCTGAGCAGCTGCTGGGCTGTCAAAGTCAACAAAACCATAACCTGAAATATAAACCATATTTCATTAATGAGCAAATAACCAGCTTATAATCAAACAGTTCACATGCTACTAGCACAGTTATTTAATACAATTTTCTTGTTGGTGAAGAGGACCAATTTAAACTCCAAAGTTTGTCATGTAGTCCCAAGAAAACAATCTACCAAAGTCCTTCAACCTTGAACTGGTGGGGACCTACCCTAGTGGAACAAATCCATTTTCATTCCCACTCATTAACAGGATTTTGTCCAAATTGCTAACAAGTAGTATGGTGCTTTGTTTTATCTGGTACGTATCTTCTAAGAGCAAACGTGACATAATCTGTTTCTTTCATAGAGATCACCAAGTAAAGCATAATCTGTTAATTCTTCTAAACTAAATTCTTAGTCTAGTTTAAATAAGTGATAAATAAGCTTCTAAAATTACATGTCAAACTCAAAACTAGGAGAGGAATTTAGTCGAAAAGATGCATATCTACTGCATTGTAACCCAATTTTTTGTGAATTAGTTACTTCATTGTATATACACAAAAGACAGTTAAATTTTAAAAGTGAGTGAAAACCCAGCTTCAGTGAAATCAAGGAAGTTTTTCCCATTGTTGTTACTGAAATCTGAATGGAAAAAAATGTCCTGAAAACATTTTCTATGCCATATAATGCAATCTTTACATGTTAAAGCAAGCCCACAGTTAAATGTAACAATTTCTATATATCTGCAAGAACTTATGTTCTTATTCTGAACAACAACATTCAGCTAATGGATTCCAGGACATCTGAACAGCAACATACCTTGGCCTTCACAAGCAGTGACCTTAAAGACTGGGAGCTGGATGCTCAAGTCTCACCAAAAGGCAGTTGGAGTTTGGAAGCTATTTCCCCTAGACGTTATCACAAACCTCATTCTGTATTTTTCAACCCCCTTCCTTCCCACCAGGGAACCACCCCAAATATTAAAGCAATCCCTCTCCAATGTCTAAGTTGGGTTAAAAGAAAACAAACAAAAACCCCAGCATCTAAAAAAAAAAAAAAACTCTAGAGGAGTAGAAAATTGAATTATTTCTTCAGAAGGTAATAGTATTCTCTTACAACATGTCTATACTGAAGACAAGAAGGTTGCGTAAAGATATAACTGAACCAGCTTTGAAGTCCTTAACTTGGGAAAAACAACTCGAGCAGCCTTGTACATCACTGCAAGCTTATTTAACCTGCCAAGAAGCTGAAGAAAGCAGCATATTGTTCTGTGTAACATGTGGTGTTGTGGACTGTTAAATCTTGACATGAAACAGAATGAATTAGCTCATATCAAGTCTTCTCTTGCCAAGGCAAAACTAGCTTTCCATACCCACAACTAGCTTTTCATACCCATGACAGCCTAGGTTATCAACACCACCACACTGCAGGGTGCAATATATATGAAGTTACATACTGATACCAAGCATGCCAGCAAAGCTGGCTTTGACATCTTCTAGATGACATATAAACTCAATTGCTCATTGTTCCAATTAGTTTAAATCCTATGGTATGTTTTTTTGGCAAGAGCCAGAGATGCTGTCAATCTTTCGGTTAAATTCCAGTTAGGTATCTGCATTCTGCCTGCTTATGTTCCTACTGCAATTTCAGTGGCATGCAGTGAGCTTCCCTGCAGCCTTAGCTTGCTGTATATGATTACAACAGACTGTTAGTTAATGCTTTTCACGAGTGAGATTTAAAATCTGTATTGGAAAAGTCAGCTTAAATCTCTTAAAACATTAACGTGAGAATTTCTGTATCACTGACAGAGCTACCGAAGTCTTCAGGAGCTGGGGGCATGGACACACTAAAACAGTTAAGTGATGTCATAGGTAGTAATGAATTAAAATAACTGAAAAGGGCATATCCTCTTTCCTAGTCACAATATATGCAGATGACATGTGCATACAAGCTAGGAAAAAAATTTCTAGAGATTTCGGTTTCTGAACTGTCAGTGGGGAGCTGAGAAGGTACGGCCCTGCACTGCTTCCAAGTTCTGCACAAAAACTGTGTCTGTATTAATGATGAACTCTCCTCTCCTGCCTCTATCAACTTTATGCTCATTCATGAGCTTCACACTTATTGATAAATCAGCTGACTTAATTCTTCACTTTGCTTAGAAATTATGCTCTTAATTGAAAAAAAATGAAGTCTGAAATATGATATTTCAGTGTCTGCTACCACACCTTCTCCCACCATGCACGTTGCTGGGATATGATCTCACTGCAGCTGCAATGAGTGATGAAAAATCAGTGAACTGATGTATCCAGTTTATCGAAAGAAGTCCTAATTTTTTTTCCAGCTGCAATTACTTTGGTGAAAGCGAACCCTCTCTTTGGTCCCAATACATTCAATAGCATATAAAAAAACACAATTAGAGTATTGGAACATATAATTAAGTGCTGCTTTAAACTACTCTAATCAATGGAGCTGATTTCCACAATATGTATTTTTTTCTGATGCTTAGTGCAGTTGAATGGTTTTCCATAAACTTCCCTAGCTTCTCAAAGCAAAAGGGGAAAAGCTGCTTTTAACTCTATTTTTGTTTTTAAAATAGAGGTGAACTGCCAGCCAGCACTGTGCATGACAGCCTCACTCCGGCTGGGCTGCAGCAGTGACACAGGCTGTCTGCCAGCTCCACTGGAAACAAATGTATGGAATACACCAACCACAGGCAAGAATAAGACTAATTTAGGAATAAGAATAAAATAAAGTAATTAGCGTATTTCATGTAATCAGTTAAGACATTCAGGTCAGTGTAATATAAAGGCAAGTCTACATACCTTTGCATTTGTTTGTTGTCTTATCCAAAATAGCCTTCGTGGATACAATTTTCCCATACCTAAAATGTATTATACATATGTAAGGAAAATGAGAAAAGAACATCCTATTACAACAGATACCCAATTCACATTATTTTATAACCGATTACCCTTACATTTTAATAAAATGGAATAATATAGAGACTTTATTATTATATAATGAAAACTCAGAACATAGATTGAAGTAACAAAAAAGATCAACCATGTCAAGCATGACCTTGTTCTATTCTCCCTATGTTTCCAGTGGTACAGCAGAATCACAAAAGAAGATTGAGAAAAAGTGCTTCATAGAAAAAAAATACAATACAGTTAAAATCCTGGTACATATAAGAAATCACATTTTAGACATAAGCTTGGACTCTCCAATTATATATAGCAGGTAAGGCAGACAAGCTGCCTTTGTCAGTGCTAGGCTTGCTAACTAACACGGTATAGGGGTTAAAAAAACAAACAAACAAACAAACAAACTAAATAAATAAATAAATCCACCACCAAAAAAACCCAAACTTGGAAAAATTTATCTATCTCTTGCAACACACACTGACAAACACAAAAAGATTAAAAACTCTATTCTGGAAAGTGACAAGTACAAGTCAGATTTATGAAAGCTGATCGGCAAGGGTGGTTAAACATTTTCTGTCTTTTTAAAATGGAAAACTGAAATGTAAACAATTTCAACTAAAGCCAAAACACCCCTCAGGAAAGTTTCAATTTTCTTTTTAAAAAAGAAAAACACATTAATTGCCTGTTCCTCAGCTTCTCAATAAGCAGGCAGTCCAAGCGCCAATCTGCTACATGCAAAGGTGAGCACCCAGAGATCTAAGAACAGTTAAGCGTGAGAACAGGTGGATAGCAATCCCAGCTACACCAATGGTTGCTGTTTCTCAAGTGTTCTGCACAGTTTATAAGAATTAGGGGTTTTGATCAAATTTAGAGTAGAGTTTGCCACTCCTGGTGAAAATTTGCAATTTTACTTGAAAGTCAAATCCCATTTTCAATAAATCCCTTACTACTCCTCTGGTTGATTGTAAACTACATTTGATATAGTGTTGTGAGTATACGAGAGGGAAATGATGCAACACAAGTTTGTTTCCACATGAGAATATAATTTAAATTATTACATTAACAGGCATTCCTAAGCACTGTGTGCTAAGTGGTTCTTCATAGAGGTTTTTGATACGAGAACCCAAAATGAAATAAAAATTATGAGAAATGTTATCAGTGTAAGAAAGTGACATTTGGGGAAGAATGAAGTTTTGCCAGTTCACCTGTTAAATATAACTTCAAGAGTAACATTTTGAAAAGGTATTGATTCAAGAGACAACTACCTCAATTTCTGCAGTACCAGTATTAGCCTTAAAAATTCTTCAAAATATATAAGAAGATTAAAAAATAAAGTAGAGCTTAGGTAGTTAAGAGTAGTCAAATAACTGTTCACTTGCAAAGTGACAGTTATTCAAGAATGAAGCCTATTTACAAAGTACTTTCCCCTTAAGAACGTTTGAATACATGTTTCAGTGTAGTTATTGCTCTTTGTGACCAATTTCAAGCACCTTCTATTTATTCAATGAGTTATTTTATGGCTTCAAATAGTTGCAAGGGGGTAAACCTGGGGCACTAGCCACTAGGTGTTAGCTTCCTTATTGTTACCTGAAATTGTGAGCATCTACACTGATATAAAATAGAACTATCCATCTGTAGCCTAAAAATGTACAAGCACCAATGAAAATCAGTACATACCTAATTAAATATACCATGCTAGAAGATGTAATAAAGCAATAGAAATTCTGCCTAATAGTTGGAGCAGGTACTTCCTTATTAGTGTCACTTATTTTCCAAATACATCATTCCATTAAGAAAGCTTTATAGTCTGTAAGTCAAAACTTCTCAAACTTTCTCCAGAATTTTTCTGAGTGCAGACTAAACATACATCTTATAAATGAGAGAGGCAAACCGTTCAGGGACATCACTCCTGAGGATCCACTAAACTCTTGTGTTCTAAGCTGCTTGCACCCAGCATTACATTCAACGGTCAGCATTTTCCATATCCCATGAGCTTCCCTAAGCTTCTCAAAGTGAAGAGCTACATGACCTTTTGTGGGGAAAAAAAAAAAAAAAAAAAAAGAGTCCCTGAAGAGTGATCTTGTCCCTGCTACTGTTTCAGTTCTCCAAAGCGTAGAAAGTGGTGGTGGTGAAAAACTACAACAAAGTAACTGCAACCCTCAGCCACTTTGGTCAGGTCTGCACTGGCCCACCGATGCCAACACACACCAGTCCATAAATAGGTGTCTGCATATCTGCTCTGTACAGCCACTTCATGGACCATTTTCCAACGTGCAAGACTGTTAGTGATTTAATTCACTGTCCTAGATAGCATGGCTCCTGCAAAGAACCCGCTGCCATGGAAGACTGCCAAGAAGTTTCAGCAGAGTGAGTCTAGGAACGATTCGGAGAACTGGTATAACAATAGCAGCTATCATCAGGATTTCTCCTACGATTTTCCCTGTGAATACTCCTCCTAAGTGCTAGCTCTCCACTCATGCCATGAAGCACAGAAATGGAATTTACCCCACGCAACCCTGGCCAGAGGGATACATCCCCCCTCCTTGCTCCCACCATGTGGTCTGATATCAGGGGAAATTACTCCTTGCAGCTCTTCTTAAGCACTTCCTTCAAATGATGGCCATCATGAAAATCTAGTTCCTTCCTCCTGAATTCTGCAGTCCTAATACTGCTGTCAACATAGGCTCCTGTCTTCAACTGTTCATTTGTTGGGTGCAACTGCAATCAAGACCCACCAGAAATCAATGAGCTATACTGCAGTCATTGAGCAAACTAGTACGTATTGCCTGCTTACGAACAGGAATATAGAAAGCAAGAGAAAATTTATATTCCAAAGATGTCCTTGATGTTAGGTCTTGCCTGAAGACCATCACTCCTCTCAAAGCTCACACACATCTAGTTGTCTTAAGCACCCTGCTGAGGCTACTCTTCTGCTCCAAAACCTTACTGCATGCTTGGTAAGACTTACTGCCTAAGGCAGAGCATGTTTCTCATGGTTGGCAGAATCACTTCTACAATAATTAGTGATTGCTCCTTCCCTCTCCTCTGAAGCAGTTTGTAAAAATATGCTTTCTTTTAAATTAAGTGTTAGTCTTGATAAATAACTGCTAATCTGGCTGGTGACAAGCAACTAGGTACTCCTTATTAGGTACATTATTTTTCACCCAAAAATAACATCAAATAAATGTTCAGCAGCAAAAAATAGGTTTGTTTTGTGATTTTTCAGGGTGGAGGGTTGAGTTCTACGAACACATTCTCTCTTTAGTCTGAATTATCTTTGGAGATGGAAGGATGTTTTCAGCTTTGCATCTTTCGCATGTACAGCACCTGTACCAATGTCAACTAACATATTAAGGAAGAGAGGGCTTGGGCAACAGGCAGGTGAATAGTTGCCAGGGTGCATTTGTTATGGGATTAAAAGGGGGTATGTTCAGTGGACCAGTGTATACATTATAGTACAGAACACCAACACAAACATATATTTGGATAGGAGATAAAGAAAAAACTTCGAAAGCCAAGTTAGGAAGATATGCAGTACTGCTACTTAATAGGAGAATGCTTACCAGTGCCCATTACCTACTCTCTGTATATTAATGAAAGGGTAACCCCCACCTACTCAGCTGCCCTAAGCAGATCTACTGCCAGGCAATATGAATGCCAAAGCACAGCACTGTACTTTTGTCTGAGATACTTTTAAAGTGGAAGACCTGAAGCAAAGCATCACCATATACTTTTTAAAAGTCACATTGTTCAGCAACACAAACCCAGTGCAAATGATCACACTGACAGATTTATTACAAATATCTAGGAATACTTTTGACATTTAAAACATCTCTGAAGCCTAATTTTGGTGACCTCGATGTTGAAAGAAAAGGGTCCTTAGAAAACTAAGTATACAGATGAAACTGAACCGCTGTTTATTTTTCTCCCTTTGTACATCTGCTAGTATAATGAACATACTTGCAAATGTGAGGGCGATAAGATGCCACCATGAGCATGACAAAGAATGGGGAACGAAGTAGCTTGAAGTCTCTGCAACAAGTGCTATTTTGAGTGTTGAAAGAACTTATCTGTGTGTGCATTAGGGGAGGTACAATAAGAACAGGCAGTGAGAGGCTTGATAGCGGTTGTCTGGAATGAATTGTTCAAATCTTTGTCCACAACAGCTTAACATAATACAGCTCATACCACCCAGCTGCTGGTGCTCCCCTTTGCAGGGCTTTCAAACTGCCTTCTAGCTTGTGCTGTGAAGGTTTCTCTGCCATCTGACATTGACTTAGATATTAATACGCCAGAAGGATCTTTGCTACCATCGAAAGTCCTTGCCTTTTACTGCTGCTTAGGTCCTCCATCCTGAACTGTCCAGAACTTTGTGTTGAAGATGAACAGCCCCCTCTCTTTGCCTAAGTCCAGACCAGCTCTAAAAAGAGCATTCCTGGAGATCCTGCTGTTACCCCTTTGATTACTGTAGTGCTGTCAGAATGTCTCTGCTATGCAGAAACAATGTTGCATATCTTCTGTGTTTATTTTAGCTTAATTGTTACATTTTAGCATATTATCACCACCCTTTATGGAATGCTCTTTATTTCTAAGAGCCAGAATCACTTGGTAAAAGTAGGCATGGATTTCATAACATGTAAGTGGCTCTGAGAACATGAACTCATTATAACGTGGAATTGTGAAAGGGAATAGAAGCTGGCTGAACACAAGAATTTCAGTAAGGAGCTAGTATTCTCACCAGGTGACCCAAAAACAAGAGAGAGCAGAACAGACAGATCCAGCAGGAAAGTCATGTGGGAGCACAGATCAGTTAATCCTAAAACAGACTGCAGTTGCTCAATGGATCCACATCAAAATAAATCTTACTTTAGACTAGGGTAAATAACTAGAATAACATGGATAAAGCAAATACTTCCAAAGCAATTCCTGTATATAAGTTGTAACACTAAAAAGAATG